TGAATTAATCTAGTGTGCTAGATGGGGGGTTACCTAATGGTTTACCCCCTCTCACAAAAAGCGCGGCCTCCACATGTATTTAAAAATTTCGGCTTGTGGTCCCCAACCCCTAATGTGAGTGAGGTGTAAAAAATTTGGTAAAAAAATTCGGTAAATGTAGCATAACTCATAAGTTTTTCTCTAATGCAATTCATAAATAATTAATAAAATCAACATAAATTTGATAAAGCTAATTGAGAATTTTAATACCTTAAAAGGTATTTTTAAATTTTATAAAATTAGGAAAATTTGCATCAACGGTCCCTAACTTTTTCAATTTTTGCAAACTTTACATTTAAAAGAAAATTCACTCTTTTATTTATGTAGGATATAATATACTATTTTTGAAGTAGAACCTTTAGTAATTACATGAGATCATTTTTAGTTTGTTTGAATTTAAAATGAGAAATCAACATTCACAAAAATATAGTCAATATTTTATTTTTTATTTTTTTTGATATGAAAAAAAATATAGTCAATATTAAACAACTTTATACTAGTTAAAAAAAAAATTATGCTAAGAATACAGATTTTAACAATACAAAGTATCTTTTTAATATCTAACTAACAAATATTTAAAAAATAAAACATGTCACCGATTACATTTTTCAACACTTTCCTTAATTGATTGCTCGGTTAATTTCCCTCCCACCAAATTACTTATTATTTAACAACGAAAAAGTTTCTAATATAAATATTTTGTGAACAACTGGACAACAAGCGTCATTAATCCAGGTGTGAACTGACCTACGTTACATAAAGAAGCATACCTGATCAGGTGGGTGGCTCGAATTTAACCATAAAAATGCAAAATACTAAACATACACTCATTCATTTACATTCTTTTCAACATTATCACCTTTGTTTTTCGAAAATTGAGGACCGAAAAATAATTTTTGTTTTTCAACTGTCCAATGATATTTTGCCATGTGGCACAACATTATAGATCTAAAAAATAATATACGTGTAGCATGATTATTAAAAAATGTCATTGAAGATTGTTGACGCTTTTATTTTTATATTTTAAGATTTTAAGTAGAATTTTTATAGAATTTTTACTAGTAAATTCGTTGGTCCAAGAACACAGGTCATATATGCTTAACAAAAATCTCTGCTCAATATTGCAATGAGTTAAATAAACCACTCAAAGTAGATACC